CGCCGCTGCTCCCGGTGGGGTCATGCTAATGGGGCAGCGCAGGAACCGCGGCTGCCGTGCGAACCCCGCCGGAGCTGGAGACACACCCGGCCCGCAGTGGAAGGGCCTGCCTTGAACGGAGCAGCCCGACCCCGGTACCGGCTTCCAGTTCCTCATTCCGTGCCCAGCGGCCATTTATGGACAGCCCGTACGCGCCGCAGGCACGGCCGACCCCGACACGCGTCGGACCGGGCGATCCCCTGCACCGCCCCTCGGAGCGAGCCCCGGGCGCCGGGCACGGCCCGCCGGGCACCGGGTACGGCCCGCCGGGCGCCGCCCCTGCCCCTCCGGGGAGCCCGGGCCGCCCGGGCCGCCGCGCCCCGCCCTCGCCGCACGCGCTCCGCTCCGGGACGGCCCCACCGGGGGCGGCGGCTCCCCCGGCCTTCGGAAGGTCGCGCAAGGGCACCCGGGGCCCCGCTCCCGCCGCTCGGCCGCGCCCGGCCCTCCCCGCGGCCCGGCCCTGGCCGCCGCGCCGCACCCCCGCCCGCCGCTGCCGCCGCTGCCGCCGTACCGGGCTCGCTCGCTCCGCGCTGCGCTGCCAACGCCGCGGATCCGCCCAGGCCCCGCGCGCCCCCGCACTTCCGGGACACGCCCGGCACTTCCCGTTACTCGGCCCCGCGCCGCCGCCGCGCTTCCGGCCGCGGGCCGCGCGCTGATTGGCCCGGGGGACGCGCGCGCGGGCGGGGCGGGGCCGGCAGGGCAGGGCGGGGCCGACGGGGCGGGGCAGGCGGGGATCCGGACCCGGAGAGCGGCCCGGGAGCAAGAACGGCACCGGGAGCGGGACCGGGACACGGAGCATCACGGTATGTGAGGGAGCGGGACAGGCGCGGGCCCGGCGCGGCAAGGCAGCAGCCACAGCTCTAGACATGGTTCTATTTTATTACGGCAAAGGTGAAAAAGCCACCTTGGCCCAACAGGCAACCAGAAAAATTTATCCCAAAAATAACTCGGTACAAAACAGGTCTGCTGAGAATTAAAAAAAACCTTTACAGGAGTTAAAACCTATCCCAGAACGTAAAAGTAAAACAAATCCCATCCTCGGTAGTAGTAGCCACAGCCGCAGCCCCTGCCGGGAGTGTGGAGCAAGATTGGAGTCCTTCCCTGGCCCACTGCTGCCGCTTTAGCTGGTGTCCATCTGCAAGAGAGGGAGCAATGTCACCACGGCCCTGGCACGGCCCTGGCACAGCCCTGGCACGGCCCTGGCACCCTGCAGCACCCCCTCACCCCAGCCCAGCCCCTCTGCAGGCAGCCTGGCTCTGCTGAGCCCCCAGGCACTGGGGGGACAGGGACAGCTGGGTCCACGCCCCAGCACACCGTGCTGAGCACCACTGCACCCCACACTGCTCCAAGGCTGCTCCTGGAATCCTGCTCATCCCACTCCTTCCACGCTCTCGCCTGACCTACCCCATCCTCAACACCCGCTCTGCTGCCGTGGGGTCCTCGTGGCCTCAGCTCTGCTGGGGTCCAGGCACAGGCTGAGCAAGTTCCATCCACAGCTGCCACCTGCTCGTGGCTCCCCAGGCTGGGGCTCATTTCTGCCACCAGCACAACACCCTTCCCCAGCAGCACACCACACAGTTCCTCCACATGAGATTTTCCTTGGTTTTCCCACTCCTGCATCCCATCAGCTCTGTGAGTTTTGTTCTGCAGCTGCTGCTCATAGTGGCTGTTCCAGCTCTGGAGCCTGGCAGGAGCAGAGCCTGCTCCTCAGCCATCAGGAACAGTGACAAACTGCTCTGGAAAGCGAAGCTCAGGCCCAAGCCAAGGCACAGAGGCAGCTTCAGAGCGAGACTGCCTCCGTGCAAGGCCCTGGAGAATGCTCTCTCTTTCCTGCCAGCTCCAGACTGCCAGTGCTTTCCAGGATGAGATGCTGTGGGGAGCCCATTACCGTGCCCAGGCAGCACTTACCCTGGCATTGTAAGCATCCAGCTGTGCATCTAGTTCTTCTGCAGAGAGCTGCTGTTTGGAAGTTCTTCCAGCTCCTCTGCCTCTCCCTCTGTTCCCGCCACGAGTCCCTCGCCTGTTGCCTCCACCTCCAAATCCCCCCAAGACCCCGCGGTTCCTGGTCATGCCACCTCTGTTTACACTGCAAGTTTGAAAAGCAGCAGTTTTAGTGCCTGCAGTGAAGCTGAGCAGGAGCCAGGCTCCCCAGAAGGGAGGGCTCCTGCCCTTCCCTCCCCCTGCTCGGGCAGGGCAACCCCACCTCTGTGCTGGTCTCCGCTGCGTGTCGATCTGTGACGTGACCAGCTGGATGTTCATGGGGCGGCCTGCAGGGAGAGCAGGGGGGACAGGAGAGCAGCCGTGAGCCCCAGAGGGACACACACACACACACACACACGGGCAGGGCTCAGGGACGGGCAGGGATAGGGACGTGCAGGCACAGGGACATGCAGGCACAGGGACGTGCAGGCCCTGCCCCAGCCCCAGGAGCCGTAGGGCCAGGCCAGGCAGCCTCACCGTCCAAGGGCACCCCGTTGTACTGCTTCATGGCCTTCAGCGCATCAGCCTTCCTCTCGAAATGCACGTCTGCCGTCCCTAGGCTGCGGCCAGACCTGTCATAGTGCACAGCTGCCTTCTTCAAGGTCCCAAACTCTGCAAAGAGCTCCTGCAACGAGAGGGAAAGGAGCATGCCCGTCCATCAGTGCTGCAAACGCTGCAGCGCCCCACACTCGGGGTCAGGGCTCATCCAACCACCTCAGACAGCCTGCAGAAACTCCCAGAGGCACAGCAAGCCCCTCAGCCAGAGTCCAGGCATGGTCACAGGTGGCAAAAGCAAGCAGGACTCCACGCTCGTGTCCTGCAGGAGGCACATCCACAGCCAGGGAAGCAGATTCAAGGGATGCTGACCTGTTTCCCCAGGGGAACTGGGGGCCTTTGTTGAAGACGAGTCAAAGCAGCAACAACTGAAAACACTCCAGAGCCCAGACACCTTTCTCAGAGGAGAATGGCCATGTGAGTGCAGGGATCCACGAGAGCACAGCACTTCTGCTGTGCGGGACTCCTGGCCCTGAGGAACACACCCCAGAAATGGAGACCAACCAAGGCCTGTGCTGAGCTCTGGCCTGTGCTGCCACAAAGGCTGGAGATAAAGAGGCAGCCACAGAGCCCCCAGTGTTGTTTGCCAGGCACCACACTGGGGAAGCCAGCAGGGTCACTGCACAGCCTGTGTCAGCCTGCCCCGAGGCACAGCAGGGCTCTCGGCAGGGCTGCAGCAGCACAGCTGCACAGGGCAGCTGGCTGATGCTCTCTGGGCACAATGTGGCAGGCAAGGCTGTGTCAGCTCTGCCCAGAGCCCGGGGCCAGCTGCTCCTGCCTCAGGGGACACCAAGAGCAACCAGAGCACCTTGGGCCTCTCACACCACAGAGAGAGGCACTGGCACAGCAACAAAACCACATCCGAGGCAACGCTAAATTATGGGGCTGGGGGCCAAAGACACTGTCAGCCCTGCTGCTGCTAAACAAACCCCAGTGGGAGCTCGTGCAGCCGCAGGAAGGAGAGTCCTGGCTGCAATCGAGGCACAGGGGCTGAGTTTTACACACTGCTGCCTCACTGCAACAAACAGGAACTTGTTAAACCCAGTCTGAACCTACAGGAGGGCAGCACACTACCCAGTGAGTGACAGAGCTCCTTCCCAGTTCCCCACACGCAGCCAGGTGGGTGTGCGGAGAGGCTGAATGAAGGAATGAATGAATGAATGAAGGAATGAATGAATGAATGAATGATGAAGAAGGTCTGGCAGCGGTGGTTTGGTTCTCCCTGGAGAGGCCACGAGAGCCAGACGCCAGGGTGATGGCAGCCCTCTGTGGCACTGAGTTCCTGCAGAGCTCACAGCCCACTCCTGAGCCTGGGACACCCCAATGCACCCCACTGCAGCCCCTGTGGGGGCACGGCTATCACAGGTGGAGCACGGGACTCCACGGCACCAGTGCAGCTGTGACAAATAACGACCTGGCTGCACCGAGGGGTGCATCCTTGGGAACCCCTGACACCCACCAGAGCCCACAGCACCGTTAGGAACAGCTACAGCTGCACAGAGCAGGAGCTCACAGAGTCACACTGCACCCTCCCATCGCAGCGTGACCCAGCAGAGCCACGGCATCGCTCCGTGCACCGGGCAGCCCCATACAGAGCACTTATAAACCGAATTTCCCGGCCCCAAGGAGATCACCAAAGCAGGCACACGTAGTGCCAACCCCATCACCAGGGATTCATTCACGCGGGAATGCTCGGCCCCGGTGCCAGCCGGAGCAGGGCCGGCGGGGCTCCCGCGGGCACCGGCCCGGCCGATGAACGGGGCCGCGCTCCCTCTCCCCGAGCCGCACCTGGATGTCCGCATCCGAGACGCCGAAGTCCAGGTTGGAGACGAGCAGCTTTCCGCCGGTCTCCACGCCGGCCCCCGCCCCGAAGCCGCTGTCGAACAGGTCGTGCTGCCACTTCTCCGGGAGCTGCTTCGGCTGCAACGAGACCGGAGCTCGCTGACCGGCGCCGGGGCCCCGCCGCCCGCGGCCGCGCCGGGACCGGACAAAGGGGCCGCCCGCGTCCCCGCCCGGCGCGGGCCCGCCGCCCCAGCCCGCCGCGCCGCCGCGGCCCAAGCCCCGCCCGCCCGGTCCGTACCCGGCTGTAGGGCGCGGGCCGGTTCCTGCCGCCGCCCCGGGCCATCACCGGCCGGTTCCGTACGGGGCCGCCGCCCGCGCGCCCGCCGCCAACGCCGCCCCGGCCGGGCCCGCCCCCGCGTGCGGTGCCGCCCCGGCCCCGGCCGCCCCGGCCGCCCCGGCTGGCCCCGCGCTGGCTCCGGTTGAGCTTAATGATGTCGTCCAGGGACATGTCCATCTTGTCGGCCATGATGGCGGCACCGCTCCCGCCCGCACTTCCGGCCGCGCTGCGCCCGCGCCGGAAGCGGAAGGGGCGGGGCTGCGGCGCGGCGCGGCGGGCGCGCGAGGCTCTGTGGGGCGGGCGGCACTTCCGGCGGCACCGGGAGCGGGACCGGGACCGGGACATGCGGGTGCGCGTGCGGAGCTGGCACGGAGTCGCGTCCTGGCTGTGGGTGGCCAACGACGAGAACTGCGGCATCTGCCGGATGGCCTTCAACGGCTGCTGCCCCGACTGTGAGTGCGGCACCGGCACCGGCACCGGGCGCTGCGCGCCGGCCGGGGCTGACGGTGTTTCCGTGCCGCAGGTAAGGTTCCCGGAGACGACTGCCCGTTGGTGTGGGGGCAGTGCTCGCACTGCTTCCACATGCACTGCATCCTCAAGTGGCTGAACTCGCAGCAGGTGCAGCAGCACTGCCCCATGTGCCGCCAGGAGTGGAAGTTCCGCGAGTGACGGCGGCACCGGGCACCGGGCACGGCTGTGACCCGCCCGGCCCGGCCCGGCCAATAAACGTGCGACGCCAGTCCGTGTCCGTGTCTGTGCGCGGTGTCCCGGGCTCGGTGCTCGGAGCGGGGCCGGGCAGTGACTCCGGGAAGCGGAGCGGCGCCGCTGCGGCGGGGCGGGCGAGGCGGGACCCCCGCCCGGGTGTCGCTTCTCGCGCTGTGCCGCCCCGCCGAGCCCCGCTCCTGCGGGCGGCCCGGTGGGCAGGACCTCGGGGCGCTCTCGGCCCGTGCCGCTCTCAGCTCCGACACCGGCGGCTCGGCCCAGCTCGGCCCGCTCCCCCGGGGCTCCGCACCGCGGTGAGGAACGGGGCCGCCCGGGGCCTGACTGCCCCTGTACCCCGGGGAGTGAGCAGGGCCTGAGCGGGGCTGGGGGCCCTGGGGTGACAATAAACGTGCTCGGGATGGCTCTGTCTGTCTGTCTGTCTGTCCTTGCTGGGGAGGGGGAGCCCACCCAGACCTGGGAGCTCCAGATGCCAGCCCTGCCTGGCTGCAGTGCCCATCCCAGACACGGTGCCAGCCCTGCCTGGCCCACATGGGTACCGTGCTCATTAGCAGCGAAGCCAAGGAGTGTCCCCAGTGCCCCCAGTGCCCCTGGCTGCAGCTGTGACACACGTGGAGCTGCCCTGCTGTGCCAGGCAGAGCCCAGGAAGGGCCAGCAGGGTGAGTGGTGGCTGCCCTGGGCTGAGCAGCCCCCCTGCCATGGAGCCTCAGGGAGTGTGGGGCTCCCTCTCAGGAGCAGGGCACGTGTGCCCCGTGCCCCCTTCGCTTCAGCCCCAAAAACACCAACGCACAACTCTTCAATATTTTATTAACGATCAGCAGCAAAAGTTTACAAGAGAGAGGACACCAGACACAGCCCGGCAGGACCACCTGGCACAGTGCAGTGAGCTGCTCAGGATCCCCAGCCCAGGATCCTGGAATGTGAGAGGCAGAGGGGGCTCACAGCTCAGGACCCATCTCGCAGGCTGCACCTCCCTTTGGAGGCAGCACGCTGCATGTCAGCCATCAGGAGACTCCCCCAGACCTGCCCCTGGCCAGGCCCTGCCCTCAGCTACTCCATCAGCACAGCCCTCACGAGGCACCGGGTCCTGCTGCCTTGCGAGGGACAGCCTCTGGGGACAGGATCCCTGTGCCTGGCCCGGCTCCACCTGCCCTGAGCAGCTGCACCTGCAGCAAAGGAACTGCCCAGGGCCGCGCTGGGTGCGGGCAGGGGCTGAGCAGAGGCAGCACGGCGAGGCTGGCGCTGCTGGCAGGCAGCCCCTGGTTCCTGAGCAGAGCTGCAGGGCAGCCCAGGAGCCCTGTCCTGCTCCCAGGGCCTGTGCGGCACCGAGCCCTGCCCGGGGCTGCTCTGCACTGCTGAGCCCGGGCTGGCAGGGCAGGGTGCGCGGGCAGCTCCTCCGCTTCCCTCCGACTAAGAGCCAGAAATGGCAGAAGGTAAAAGCACATCAACGTGTTAAAACATTAGTTATAATTAAAACCTTTTTGTTTTGTCAAATCTCCTCCTGGGAAAAGGGACAGGGACTGATTAACGGAAATAAAACTAGGCAACGGAATCCCAACTCGTTTATGTCTGCGTAATTAGTGCAGGAGGAGCTAGGGCAGCACATCCTGCGCGCCAGCAGGGCTGCCCCCTTCAGGGCTCCTGTCCTGCAGAGCAGCTGCTCTCGCAGAGGGTGAAGCTGCAGCTCTCGCTGGTTCACACACGCCCCTCTGCAGCCTAGTGCTTCTCCTGCTCCAGCCTCCTCATGGCCTCCAGCACAGCCAGCTCTTTGGCTTCTTTCTTCTGGTTGCGAGCTTCAAACTCCAGCCTGCAAGTACCACACAGTGCCCTGAGGTTCTCATTCACCCACGCTGCCTGTAGACAAAAGCCCCTGGAGCAGGGCAGCGTTGCCTTCTGCGCTGCTCGGTTCTGAGAGCCCTTCAGAAACCCCCCAGGACCCCCAGAGCCTCCCATGGCTGCTGCCAGCCCTCTGCAGTCCTGCACGCCCACACTGGTCACACTGACTTCCTTCTCCCTCTGTGGAAGCTGCTATTCCATTCTTGGGCTGTTCTGGGTGATGTAACACCAAAATCAAATTTATCACGGATGTGAGCCAAGGTGCTGAAAGGACTCGGGCCTAAAAAGACCAAAAGCAACATGCCCTTTCCCCTGGGATACAGCAAGGGAAATTTATCATTAAAGGAGAAAACCAATAAATGTGCAGTGCAGCACGTTCTGACACAGCAGAGTTCAGCTGTTCCCTTCCCTGTGCAGATTGATGCAATCACATTTACAGCCTGCCCAAGCCATGACAGAGGAAGGAAGCCAAGTTTGCTGCTCTGTGCCTTCAGACAACACCACCTCTCCCTGTTTGGTCCCATCCATCAGTCCCCAGACACTCTGGAGGGAACAGTACGTGACAGAACCAGGAGACAAAGAAATCCAACCTGTTCTTGATGATTCTTTGCACAATTAGATCTGTGGTGAGATTGCTGCCACTGTCCACCAGCTGGAAAATGCCACGTCGCTTTGGTTCCTGCAGAGAGACACAGACAGGGCTGTGAAAACTCTGGGAGTGCAGCCCAGCCGAGCTGAGCCGTGGCACAGGCAGGATGCACAGCAAACGCTCGCTGACAGCAAAGCTCCACACACACAGGAGCTGCCCAGCACAGAGCGCCAGGATTTCTCCCTCTGCCACGAAGGCATCAGGAACAGGCAGAGCAAAGCAGTGCTTGGAGAGTGGAGCTGCTGGGAGTGATTTACTGACTGCTCCATGATGGTGCCCTCAGGCGTGGATGAAAAGCTGCCAAAGCCTCCTCAGCAGTACCTTCTCAGTCCAGGAGCACAACCAGAGCCAGGCCCCGGCCATCAAATGCTGACCAAGCAAGTGGCACTTTACCTCATATGGATCAGAACCGTCCTTGTCCGGCACCACCTCAGTCATCCCATGGCAAACAAGCGTCACCTGGAGGAGGACACAAAAGTCACTGACAAGATCCAGAGGATGCCAGGGACGTTTCCTGCCACTACTCCCACTGAGCACAGCCTGGAGACCAGCAAAGGCACCCTGGTGCATGCACAGCCCGAGTCCCAGTGTGAGCAGGACCCTCCCTCCTTGCCCCCCTGTGCTGTCCTGCACCACTTCACTCCCCACACGTCTCCATGTCCATCCCTGTGCAAGGACTCACCCTGAAGTGATCCAGCAGATCAGCAGTGACAGCGTAGGGAGCTCCAATCACCACCTCTGAGACATACTGAAAAAGGAACCAGGTAGAGTTTTTAAATTTAAAAAAAAAAAACATCAAAGAAAAACCCAAAACCCAATCCCGAGCCAGAAGCCAGCTGCTTCTTAAAGAGACCCGAGCAGGTCTTCTGGCTACAGAAGTTCAAATAAGGGAACAGAGAAGTGGGCTCAGCAGTAACTGCTTGTCACACAACAGCTTTTTGTTCCTCTACAGAATGTCCTTTCTGTGCCTATAGAGCAAATCCAAAAGTTAATTGCTCCAGGCACCCATTTCTGGGGTTCCCCATGATTTTGCCTCAGGCATTTTCTCCCCTGCTGCAGGGAGCAGAGTTTTCTGTCCGACCACACAGCTCCCTCTGTGGCGTCCAGCCCTGCCACTGCCAGCAGAGCAGCTGGATGGGGCACAGCTTGGATCAGCCAGGATGGCACAGGAGCCCAGCAGAGCCTCCCAAGAGGACCAGCACCTCTGGCAGCCTCAAGTGATTCATCTTGTCTGTGTTCTCAGGGCACACCAAGGAGCTCGTGCAAGGTCACTGAGCACAGTGCCCACCAGCAGGCCCTGGGCAGCTCTCAGAGTGCAGAGACACCACTCACCCTGCAGGCCAGGACGCTGAGGGTTCGCTCGTGGATGTTCATGATGGGATAGTTCTTCCCTTTGTAGCGATTCACCTCCTAGGGCAGAGCACCAGGCAAGTCAGAGGGAGACAGAGCAACTCCCCTCCCTCCTCCCTGTCCCAAAACAACATCCCTGTCCTGTCTGTGGGAGCACAGGCTGCCTCGCTCACAGAACAGGCCCAGCTGCTCTGCCCTGGGACAGTTCCACACGGACCTGATCGAAATGCAGCCCAGCAATGATGTAGGGCTTCTCTGCCAACTGGTGAACCTTCTCCAGGAAATCCACGTGGCCAACATCTGCAGATCAGTTTAAGGAATTGAAGCTCACGTGGAAAACAGAGGAAGGAAGACAGAAATAGAATCACCCAAAAACAACAGCGGGAGTCAGGAATCCCTAGGATTTTATTCTTGCACTCTTATTGCCTATTTCCAAGAACAGCTGCTGCCTCCCTCCTCAGGTTCCACTGGTTCTGGGCAAAAGCCAGAGACTTTTTTAGCTCCACCTTACATGGACTCAGCTTTGCCTCTATCCTGAATTTCTGCTTGTTCGGATGTTCTGGCACGAAGCCTCACAGCCTGCCCCAGGAACAGCGTGTCAGCTCCAGGTGCTGTGGCAGCCAGTCTGCACCACAATCACTGGAGTGCTGAGAATATCCATCTATCTGCCTTCCTGAAACCCAACAGCCACAGACTGCTCCACACAGGAGCTACAGCCTCTTTCTCAGCATGCTGTGACTAAGACACTGCCAGGAAGAACTCACTCCTGACTCCTCCCTCACACACAGCTACAGAAAAGGAAGAAGAACGAGGCAAATACGCAGTGTGGTGCCTCCCAACATGGGAACATCAGCCAAAGAGCCCTGGTGCAGCCCTAGAGAGTGAAGGATACGGAATAGGTCGAAGGCTCCAGCCACGTAGATGATGGTGTCTCCTGGCTGGGGCTCCTTCCCTGATGCAAACTGGATGATCTTCTGGGATGTCTGCAGGAACTGCGAGACACCAGTCCAGGGACTGTGACCCTTGGGCCCCTGTGGAAACATACACCAGACACAGCCTCTTTTCAGGCTCTGGGAGGGGCTTGGGACAACACACAGTGCTGGGCAATCTGCTCATCTGAATTTGCTGGCCACTGTAACAACTCCCAGCGCCTCGGACTCTCTACATTCCTGGCATCGAGTGTTCAGACAGTTTCACAAAAGCCCTTTATGCCCTGTCTAAATCATCACCTCAGCAGACAGCTCAGGAGATGCCAAGAGGAAAGCTCAGGAAGGAGGAAGACAACAGGGCAGGTTTGAATTTCCACGAGAAGCAAGACAACACCGACCGAGCTACGCTCTGGCAGCCCCAGGGCGCCTGCCTGGCCCTCAGCTCTGGGACAGAGCTCGGTCCCCACCGCGTGGCAGCTCTGCAAGCGGCCACAATCACCTGCTCTGCCACCCAAAGCTGCTCCATGGCCCTTGGCAGGACACCCACGCTGCAGCTGAGGCCAGAGCAGGCCCTGCAAAGGGCAGCACGCAGACAGCTCAGCTGTCAGGGTCACCCAGGGTACCCAGTGCCCTGAGCCATCCTACCCAGATCCAAGCCCCAGCAAACAGCCATGCTAGAGCAATACGCCCCAAAACACCTACTCAAAACCCCCAAAACAGTGGGCAACTAAGGAAGATGCAGACAAGTCAGCAAATCCCCCGTGAGTAAAAACCAGTTGCTCGAGCTGCTGGTGCAGCTCATTCAACAGGGACAATGCGGCTGGAAATGAACAGGGCTGGCTCCTTAGGAGCAGTGTGAGCCCCAGGCCGGCCCTGGCAGCTGGAGCACCGAGAGGGCTGTGCTGCCCTGGAGCTCTGCAGCAGCGTGGCCACACCTGCTGCGTCCACACCTAACACAGCACCTGCACAACAACGCGAGCACTGACAGCAGCAGCCAGAGGCTGTCCCGGGCTGGAGCCACGGGCACTTGGCAAGTGGCAGGAAGGAACTGACAAGCAAGGAAGGAGCCCAGCAGAGGCAGAGCAGCCCTGCGGTCCCCCTCAAGGACAGCTCATGCTGCCCTGTGCCACAGCTGCCCATCACACCCACTGCCACGTGGGGACACGGACGCTCACTGAGACATTGCTGCTACACGTGGGAGGACAAACAAGCCTGCAACAGGCCAGAAAGCACACTGGGAATCCTTCTCAGGCAGGACAACAACCAGACGTCCACGACCAGAACTCACATTACCTTCCCAAAGTTGTCAGTGTGCTTCCGATAGTCTAGGTCCTCATCCTGAAGGGAGATAAAGAGTCAAAATGTTTAAGCACTTGCACAGCTCATCCAACCAAGATATGCTTGTGTGTGGGAAGTGCTGGGAAGGCCAGGCTCAAACGCACACCAGGGATCCTGTCACTGAATGCTGCCGAACTGGTTAATACCTAACCAGAGTCCTGTCCCAGCATGAGTCACAGGAAATGTGTCCTTATCTGATCCCAGCTTGGCACTGCCAGCAAAGGTGGCTCTTGCCCAACCTGCAGCCCCAAGAGTGCTGCACAGCTGCATGCTCCCTCGGCCCAGCAAGCCCCTGACAGGACAGCATCCCTTTTCCTGCCAAAGACCCTCACGAGAGGCAGGCTCAGGCACCTGCAGCAGCCAGCAGCACCGGGCAGATCTCGCTGTCAACTCCTGTGCTACAGCTAAGCCAATTTAGCAGCTCAGCACAACAAAACATGTCCCTCTGTCCCTCAATTCGCCTGTGGGTCACTTGTTGCTGCAGTTACCCAGGTGATTCTGTTCCCCAATTCCTTCATTACTCAGTAAATTCAACTCATTACCTGACATAAAACCATTGACTTTACTTTTCCCTGGCTAGGTTAGCTCCCAGCCAGAGAGAGCTGAGGAGACTCAAGAAAGGTCTGATTAGACTAGAGACAACAGAAGGCAGAAGCATGAAGCTCAGTGGAAAGGGAGAGGAGTTTCCAACTCTGGCAGCACCTGGCTGACAGATCCATGCGCCTGCACTGTGTTGTTTCACCCTGGCAGGAGTCATGGCCTTGCTGCAGCTCCCCTAACCTTCCGAGGCCCACCCTGATCATGAGGCACCAGAGTGTGTCCCATCACAGTGCAATCTCAGGCGGCTGAAGCAAACGTGAGCAGGTTGTTTTGCTGCCCCTGCCCGTTCTCCAGGCAGGAGCCAGGCCCAGGAGCTCTAGCCGCCACTCTGCTCCGTGTGGGGCAGCAGAGGGAAGAGCTGCTCGTGCCCTGTGCCCCACCTGCCCCCACGCCCCCTGACTCACTATGTTGCTGTGGTGAGCCTTGGTCATGAGCAGCATGCGGCCAACGAGGTCAGTGGTGGACACGCCCTGGGTGCGCTTGCATTCCCTGCAGGGACAAGCAAAGGATGAGGCAGGAGCAAAGGCTCTGTCCTCCCACCACTGCCACAGGGCACCTGTGACACCTGATAAACCCAAACCAGGGGCTGGCCTCCTCAGCCTTCCTTCTCAAGAACGGCATTTATCCGCTGAGCCTCGGCATCACCCTCCGCCACAGCCACTGCTCGTGTGAACGCCTCCCTCACCCAGGCTGCCCTCCAGCCAGCTCTCAGGGAGGCTTTGAAGCCAGAGCCAGCCCTGCCAGGAACCAGACAGCCCCACTGGGCAGGAATGGCTGCCCCCCTCCCCTGAAGCCAAAATGGAAGCTCGCAGCAATGGAAGCTCTGACACACAGCCAAATTCAGGTGTGACCTGAAGAATGGTATGTTTCATCTGACTTTCCTTCAAGGCACAAAGTCTAACCCTACCCAGAAACTCTGCCCAAAACAAGATAAACAGGTAAGCAAGAGGTTACCTGTATCGCCCTGCTGTCTTTACTTCCTCATAGGTGTCCTTGCCATCGATAGTTAAGGTGATGTCATCTGCAGAGAGAGAAAAGCCTCAGAACTGGACACAAGCTCTCCTGCACAAAAGCAGCAGCTGTGCAGGTCCCACACACCTACAACTCTGCAATCCAAATCCCTGTGCCTCCGCAGGGGACACGTCCCGTGCCCCACAAAGACGTCAGGGAAGTGACAACTGTGACGACTGTGTCTGTGAAGACAGGGATGTTCCCGGACATTAACACCATCACCCATCTGGGGCACTGCTGGGTGCCCTGCAGCAGCAGGCAGAGCCGACTATTGTCTGAATGACAATAAACAAGCACTATCTGTATCAATGTTAAAAATGAACATTTTAGCTATTCTGGGACTGGTTTTAACCCTTGGCTCATGTTACAAGTTTTGAGTCAATGAAACAGTTAATCCAGTGGAAAGTTCTTCCTCTCAGTGGCTGCACTCCCACAGTGACATCCAGGACCCTTCCACAGAGGCCATTCTGGCTCATCTCTGGCTCACAGCTCCCAGCTCCCCCTGCACAAACACCTCTCACACTTTTGGTGATGGTGCAAAGCCTTCACAAGCAAAAGCTAAGCTGGTTTCCCTTTGCCAAAGGAGCCAGTGGGCAGCGCTGAGTGTGCCCACACAGAGGGTGCCTCAGTCCTGCTCCGCTCCCCAAAACCCCACAGCCTCCCCTCAGAGCACAGCCTGGCGTGCCAGCAGGGCACACACAGCTGGGCACACACAGCCGGGCTGCTGTCACCACCTCAGGTAAGCTCAGCTATTTCCACACTCAGCCTTTGCACAAACACAGCCTGGCCAAGCTGCCGGGGCAGGGTGCTGCTCGGAGAGCACGGGGTGATGGCGACAGGTCAGCAGTGGCACAGGGGACAAATGCAAGCAGCTGGAGCAGGGCCACGGGCACTCCTGTGCTGCCACAACCCCTCAGCACCCCTGCAGGGATCACCAGGCACCCTCAGGGCAGGCAATGAAGGTAATGAGGAATTTGATAACCACACCATCCACGTGAAAAAAGAATATTTATCTTCTAAAGATTAGGGATTTATTTACACTTTGTGAAATACTTGGCTTATCAACAGCAGGTGGCTGGGATCAGATGAGAGATACACTAAATGAGTGCAAAGACTACTCCTGGTCAAAGTAACAAAATTGCCTCAGAGGGGCAGGGAAGAAGGGCTGAGGCTTAATGAGCATTGGCAGCAGCCCAGGAAGGGACAGAGTCCCAGAGCAAGAACGTTTCCTCAGAACACTGGTGCTCTTTAGCAACAGTACACCCAAAAGTGTTCACGCTAAGAACTAGGTCTCTGGCCACCAGTCAGCTGAGCCACTGAACAGCTTATCAGCTGGATAAAGAGAGAAGCTTTTCAGATCTAACCTTGTGCCAGGATAAGTAGAAATAAACATGGTTGTATTTCTGCATGCTTTCCTTTTCAATAGTGTTTTTCACACTTAAGTTTTGTAAATGGCTTTCCCCTTTGCACAAATTTCTGCTGGTGCTAAGGGCAACCTCGGGATAATTTTAAATGACACATTTCACCTTTGTAAGTTAAAACCAAGGGTCCAGGCCACTCTCGAGGTTCTGAACACACTGACGTTTCTCCAGACCACGAGACCAGAAGCAGCTGCGCTGCCCAGTGCAGGTGTTGAGAAGGCAGAGCTGTGCAGGTAGCCCTGCCCCTGCTGGTTTGCAGTAGGGCACCTGGAGCACACCTGGAGCCCAGGTCAGCACAGCCACTGCCCCATCCCCACTCACCCCCATGCACGCAGAAGTCACAGCTGTACTTGTCCAGGGTTTCCAGCGTGGTGACATAAGGAGCTCCAGGAGCAATCTCATCCACCCACTTGATGGCCTGCACCATTTTGTACCTCTCCTCCTGTGTAAAGACGGGGGGACCCTTGTGCTTGGCAATCTCCTCTGGGGGAGAAACAAAATTCCAGTTAGAAGCACGTCCTGCAGCTCCAGTGACTCTCAGCCACTGCCCCTCTCATTTCATGGGCAGGTGAACTTCACTGCAGGCTTATGCTCAGATTTGGATCAGTCTGTGGTAGCAAAGGAAGCCCCAGATAGATCAGAAAATATTTTGATTCGGTTGCATTTCCTAAACATTTAACAAGGGCCCTGGAATTCACTCAGAGGGCAAAATGTCTCAGTGCTTCCCTGTACCCAGATACTTCTTCCTGAAGGAATGAGCTGGGGCTCCCAGCATCCCCCCAGGAGAAATTTCCCTCTTAAACAGTAACTTCATACTACCCCTGGTTCATACTGGAAATTCTGCATCCACAAACCCATTTAAAATACATCTTGACATGCCAGAACTTGTTTCTGACACTTAACTTCCAGAGTGTCTTGAAAAGAGTTTTTTTCACAAGGTAATTTGTTTTAAAACATAAATTCTGCACCTCCTACCAGCAAAAGCAGACTGATTTTTGGCTGTTTCAACTGTTTTTATAGCACAGAAGGCAGATTAACCCTCGGAGCCTGCAAGACCTGACCCACCTAATCCTCAGTCCAAAAGTATGACGGGGTAACTCCACTCCCAGAGAAGGGACATCTTTCTCTTGGAGGCTACTGATGCTGGAGCCGATGCAGGATGAAGCCTGACCCTATCAGGAGCTCTTGGGGCTAATGCTGCTGGGCAATCTGAGGGGCTGCACGGGAGGAATCCTGGTAGAACCTCTTACCATCGGTGTGGACCCCAACGATCAGGTAATCGCCCATGGCCCGTGCCTGGCGCAGCTGGTTCGAGTGGCCGTAGTGCACCATGTCATAGCTGCAAAGAGAAGGGCCGGCTCAGCCGGGCAGCTGCGGGCGATCCGCCCCGGCCTCGGGGCTGCCCCGGTCCCCGCGGGAGCCCCCGGCGCTCCAGGGCCGCTCCCTCCGTGCACCTGCCCGGCAGGGCTGGCTGGCCCCGGGGCAGCGCACCGGCGCCCGTTAAGCGGCCGAGCGAAGGGGCGCCGCCGGCCCGGCCGGTTCGTGCCCAGCCCCGTTCGCCCGGCACGGAGAGCGCCGCGGAGCCGCGGCCCGGCCCGTCCCGCCGCGCTGACAGAGGAGGCGGAGGCACCGGCGTAGCCAACACGGTTTATTTCGCGGCGCCGCGACACGGCCCGGCCCGGCCCGCCCCGCCAGCACTCACCATCCATCGCACCAGACGCGCACGGGCCGGTGGCCGCCGCCGCCCGCCGCGGCCCCGCCGCCGCCCGCCGCCCCGTTGCGCAGCATGGCCGCGCTGTCACCGGCGCCCGCCCCGCCCCGCGCTCAGCGGCTCTTCCTGCGCCGGCCGCCCTTGGCGCAGCCGCGGCCGAGCCACCCCCCGGGCCGCCCGACCGCCGCCTCCGCCCGCTCCCGGGGCTGCTCCTGCTCGCGGGGCTCCTCCCGCTCCCGGGGCGGCGCCACGGCCTTCCGCGAGTGCGTGCCCTCCTCGCCGGGGCGCAGCGGCTCGGCCAGCGCGAAGATCGGGTCCCGCGCCCTGCGGGAGGAAGCGCAGAGCGCGGCGGTGGGCGCTGCGGCGGCCCCGGGCCGGGCTCCCGCCGCGCACGGCCCGCGCCGCTCACCGGTCGTAGCGCGGGATTTCCAGCCCCAGCTCCGCCATCAGCAGCCGCATCACGTCGTCGCAGCGGCCGTGCAGCTTCAGCGCGGCCAGGTCGTCCTTCGGGGTCCACTGCGAGCGAGAGCAGAGCGGGCTGCAGGCGGCTCCCCACGGCAGGAGCGGGGGCTCCGGGCCCCGCACGCCCGCGGCCCCTCGGCTCGCCAACCCAGCGCCGAGGGCTCTGTCTCACCTGCAGGTTCACAATATACAGCTTGGGCCGCCGCGTGGGGGGCTTGCTCATGCACCACAGCCGCGGGTATTTTTTCAAAACCTGCCACAAAGCACAGCGGATCAGCACAGCCACAGGCACACGCAGCCGTGAACCGTATCAGCGAGAGGAAAAGGAATGTATTACCAGGAGGGGAAAGAGGGAGGAAGAGAGACTATCACAGATGTTGGGCGAATCCTGACACCAGAGTTTACAGTTGTCTGTTTGGGAGGAGACTGCTCAGCACCAAGGTGTATCACCAAGAGGGAATGCTGCTAACAATCTTCACCGAGTCTCTAAAGTTACCTTTAAGCTGGAACCCAGACAAAGAATCACATCTGCTTTGCTCGCAGCTTCTGTTGCTGCTTCCCAGTTCAGGGGCTGTCTCAATGTCCCCTTCTCCCCAAAGTGGACGATTGTATCTCTCAACTGTGCCCCACACTTGTGGCACATCCTGCCCGTGTGGTGCCTGTGCAGGGCCGTGCGCTCCGTCACATCAAACACTCGCACGTACTCTCTGTTGGGTGTGCAGGACGTGCAGACCTGGCGCAGGACGAAAGCAGAAACCCTGTCACACCATCAGCATCACACCCACTCCAGGCCAGGAGCAAGCCCCTTCTCTTGGAAGAAAAGCATTTTTTGGGGACAACGCAGAAGTTGTAGACAGAAGCATCAGGGATCAGATGCTAACTTGGAAAACCTCAAGGTTTTTTTGAAAACCAGCCACAGGCAGCCTTTGGCTATGTGCTGGGAGGGATTTCAGAGAAGGGCTGAGGAAGAGGTGTCAGAATCAAAAGGTTCCAGTATGTACAGAGGAAGAGCTACAGAGCTGTGTTTGGCACTTCCTAGGCAGTTCACCCCAAACCCAAGGGTCTGAAGGCAGGAACTGCACACAGGCCAAGCCCTTGTACTGATTCCGTCTGCGCTAGTGGCAGATCAAGAGTTTACATTCTCTTTTCGTGAGGCCACTTAACGTTGACTCTTCCTGCTCTGGCCACTCACCTCTATGTACATGTTCCCGTGCAGCTCAGATATTGCAGCTCGGGGCAGCCCGCTCCGCAGGTGTAGCCCGTCACAGTTCTGAGACACCACGTGCTGCACCTTGGAGGGAACACAACACTGAGCTCCTGCAAACCACACAGGGATCCCTCCAAGCAGTGATGCACGTGTCCCAAACCACACCAACAGCCTGTACATCAGGGCACGACCCACAGGGGAAGAGCCTGGTGAACAGACCTTTGTGAAAGCTAAATAGAAACCTCCTCCTGCTAAAATGAACATTTTTAGGGCTGGCTGATTTGTGACCAGCTCCCCAGACCAGCCTCACCAGGGACAAATACAACATGTTAAAGAAAAGGCACTGGGGAAAACTGCCAGAGCCGGAGCCTGCAGCTGACTGAGGAAGGCTTGGACATGTTTTCCTACATGGATATGCAGCCACTTGAGCCAAAAATGCAGTCAGGCAATATTCTCTGACTATGCTCTGCTGGGTTTATCATTTTTAGGCAGAGGAACACAAGTGAGGTGAGGTAAAAATATCTTACCAGGTTGTGCTTGTGCAGACAGGCAATGCTCATATGAGTGAGTGTAGGCTCTGCCTCACTCAGGTCTGCAGCCCTGATAAGAAGCAAGGGGGGGGAAAAAAAGTTGGAATTGCCATTAACCTCTTCCAGTATCAGCTTTCAGGGAATTTGGCTCCTCACCTGATGGTCCTGCCCTTCTGCAGCAGGGTCCAAATGCCGTTGGGGCCTCTGTAGTCTGGGATCGAAGCTGCCTGTCACAGAGAGAACAGCAGGGCTGATGGGGGGGCTGGCACAGCTCCTGTGCACAGACACAGCCACAGCCAGCCCAGGACAGCCAGCCCAGGACAGCTAGACACAGGCAGCCAACACAAAGTCCAGCCATCACTGCTTTTTCATTCACTCCCAGTTTTCCAGCATAGCTGTTCCTTGAACACAGGGAAACCTCTTGATCCGTTTTCTCTCTCTCTTCTACGTTTCAGCTCTCATTATTACTTCTAGTGTCAGCTTTCTCCAATTTTATGATTATGGAATCCCTCCAGAACTCTTTTTCATGCTTGGTACTTCCCCCTTTGCTACACAGCACTCCATTCTTGAGCCTTCTATTATTTTGCCTAGACTCTATTCTGGCCTGTCCCACTCAGCATCTCTGTGAACATGCAGGTGACACGAGCACCCAGCCCCCTGCCCTGAGTCAGGCTCCATTTCAGCAGAGAAGGGAGTGACAGAGCTCACACAAAGGGGGAGGTGACACATTAGAAGAGGTAGAACCAGACTGCTGCTTTGTCCCAGGCTACTGCCACAGAGCAATTCTCAAAGCGCTGTTTATAAATCCCAATAATCCCCAGCTGTCTCTGCATGTCAGATAACACATACAGCATTGCTGAGCTAACCGGTCTGAGGTTTTACACCAAGTCGTGGAAGAGACTCGAGTGAAGCCAGAGCAGTGTCCTCTGGCTCAGGCTGTGCCTGAGCAATCCTGCAGCCACAGGATCTCCGGGGCAGCAGGAATGCCCTGGGCTGCAGCCCGGAAGCTGCAGGACTCGTGGCTCAGGCACTGTGCTGGCCCCAGAGCAGCCTGCAGGGCCGGGGCTGGCACGCACCGTGCTGATCCCAGCGCCCGTGTAGATGACGAGGTGCCTGGCGCCGCGCACGGCCGCCGCCAGCTCCGCCACCTTCCTGCTCAGCTCCTCGGGCTCGTCGCACACCTGCAAAACACACCCGGCAGGTCACACGGCTCGGGCCACGCAGGAAAAGCAGCACAGACACAGCATCAGCAGTCATTTCCAGATGAAAAGGACGTGGGCATTGTTCGTGGGAGGATCACGGCAAAAAACCTCCTGGAGACCGGTAGCTGCAGATCCAGCCCCTCGGGAGACCGGTCCGCACAGCCAGAGGCGGCTGCCGGTACCGGGGCACGGCGGTTGTTCACCTGCTGCGGCTCTAGAGCTCGGCGGCAGCCAGCCCGGCGGCCTCCGCCGCGCCTCTCCGCGTCCGGGGCCGCTCCCCGCCATCCCCGGCGCGGCCTCCCCGCTCCCCGCCATCCCCGGCCGCTCCCCGCCATCCCCGGCACGGCCTCCCCGCTCCCCGCCATCCCCGGCCCGGCTTCCCCGCTCCCCGCCATCCCCGGCGCGGCCTCCCCGCTCCCCGCCATCCCCGGCCCGCTTCCCCGCTCCCCGCCATCCCCGGCCCGGCCTCCCCGTGGCCCCGCCGCCCACCTCCTCCTGCCGCCGCCGCAGCCGTTCGCGCCGCTTGCGGCGCCGCTCCAGCTCCCTGACGATGTCCTCGCTCTCGTTCAGCACCTGGCACTCCTCGGGGCTCCGCTCCGCCGGCGGCTTCCTCCAGATGCGGGACACCTGCCCGGTGCACACGCGTGGTCACGGCGGCCCGTAGCGGCGGGGTGGAGCGGGCCGGGCTGCGCCGTACCGTACCTGTCTCCGGCGGTCCCGCTGCTCCTCCTGCTGCAGGATCTCGGCGCGCGCCGCCGCTTTCCGCTCGGAGCGGCTGAGGCTGCCGCCCGCCGCCATGGCCCGGACCCGCCGCGCCGCCGCCGCACCGGGCCCGGCTCCGCCGCTTCCGCCTTCCGGCCGGAGCGCGCGCGCGCCGCTTCCGGCAGCGCCCCCCCGCGGCAGCGCCCCCTGGCGGCCCCCAAGGACGCGCAGGCGGCGGCTGTTGAAGCGCTTTATTGTCAGTACAAAGGCGGCCGACACTGTACAGAATAAATAACGGCAATAACTTAGCAATAAATACCGCTTGCACCGAGCCCGGAGCCCCCGGCGGGACCCCCTGCCCGCCAGCCCCGGCTCGGGCCGGAAGCGACCGCATACAATTCACAATACACAAATCCCGGGCGGGCCGGGGGCGCTCCCGCGGGGCTGGGCAGGACCGACCCCTCCCCGACGGCCCGGAACGGCACCAGGAAAAGGAGAACGGGAACACGACACCCTTCACAGCAGAAAACCAAACGGACGAGCACCTCAGGAACAAGAACTGTCACACTCCAGAACACTATATACGAGAGAGAAGGCGGCGCGACGGCTCCGGCACGGGCAGGGCACGGCAGCCCGGAGCCGGACCGGAGCGCTCGGACACTGCGGAGACACATCCCATCCATCACTGCTCCTACACTGCACTGCGAACTAAACCAAAGCACGGGCAAGCCACGCTCAGGGCGCCGGGGCCTCGCCGACATCCAGCGCGGCAAACGGAGCTTGTTGGCACAGGGGCACCCTTCAGAGAGACACCCTTCAGCCTCCCTTGAGGCACGGCTGCTCCTGCCCTTGCCCCGCTCCCTGAGCACACCTCGGCCCGGGGGAAGCTGCAGGAAGGGCGGCTGTCCTCGGGCAGTGCTGCCTGCCCCGGCACAGCAGCGGCTGCAGCTCCCCGACACCCGGCACCACCAAACCCAAGCTCTCCGAGGCTGCGGGGCTGCCCGTCCTTGCCTGCCGCCTTTCCGGGCTCTCCTCACACCAGAGGCTCCGGCTGTGGAACCCAGGCCCTGGCCAGCCCCATCTGCACCCTGCCCGCTGCGCTGGCCCAGATCAGGACTCAGCTGTGTCCCAAGGGCTCTGCCTGGCTCAGTCTCAGCCTGGCTCTAAGAGGGACCCAGGACAACTGGACGCCTCTGTGTTCTGTAAAATCTCACTTGTCCCAGCCACCACACAACCAGCTGGAAGACCAGAGCCTGCTGAGTGCTGCTCAGTGTGCGGGCTGTGGTGAATGGCTGGAAGTGGCACACCAGACACTTCAGAGAAGAGAAGAGGAAGTCCAGGGCCAGAAGGCGGACGTGTGGAGGCAATGTTCTAACCTGCTCCTCCTTTGGGAAGTTTACTTGGAAAAGCATCCCAAACAACTCCCTAAACTCCCTATCAATCAGAGCAAAGCTGATCTCCAGCAGGAAATCCCCATCAGCTAACTGCTCCTCTCCTGCCACACTGCAGCTGTTCTCAGGCTGCCTGCCCCTCTGCTCAGGGGACAGCAGTATCAGTTCAGCACCCAGAAACACCCCCAAAACCTATCCAGGACAGTTGTACCTCACCACCAGACTGTGGCTTCACTCGTGTTTCCCCAGTCTGCCCCCTCCACTCAGATCTTCAGCAGCCAGGAGATCACATGGGCTTCCCCCTCATGCCCTGCTTCTCTAAAACTCAGTAAATCAGCTCAGATCTTTGGGAAGGGGAGAGGGAAGTCAAAGCGTTTGTGGAAACGGAGCCTGGCCACAGACAGATTCCCAGCTGCATCCCAGCTGTGAGTCTGAGCCCTCTCCTAAAGCCCGGGGCAGAAGCCACCCCAGGAAGGACAGTGATCCTGCCACAGCTCGCTGGCCAGCAACGTGCAGACACCAGGACTAGCCTGTCCCACGCTGCCCCTCTTGTTGAGGTGAGCACAACACAAGTTCTGACCACAGGATCTAATTCCAGAGCTCAATCCCATCAGTGTTCCCCTAAGCCTGGACGAGTCTCCCTCACGGTACTTCTCTGACAGGTTTGCTGCACAACAAGAGTGCAGTGATTTCCTCCCCAGACAACCGAGCTAGCCTGGCACTGGCTGCTGAGCAGGAGCTCCTCGGGGCAGGCCTCGCTGCACCAGCCAGCCGTTCCTGGCTCCAAAAACAGCAGCAGCGCCTTCGCCCGTGCACCAGAACCCTTCTGGAGAATCCAGAGAGATTCCAACTCACGCTCTCAGTTGAGTTTAGGGAAAACGACAACAGTGTGAAATGACAGCACATGGCAAAGGCACCAGCACACCACAGCGCCGCACAAGAGCTCGGGAGAGAGCGCCCAACACCAGGGGACACCACAGAAACTAGCCAGGTCAAGAATAAGTCACTTTTGGTACAATTGCAAAAAGATATCAAACAGGACTTGTCTCTTTTTTTGTCTTTTTCTAAGTTTTATAAATAAAGTCTGATAACTCTTTATAAAAACTAACCTCAGAGCCACAAACAGTTTGCAGGAGGTTCATGAGAAACTTTAAAATTATTTATTTATTAACTTTTAACTAGCAAAGTCTCTGAGAATATTTCCCCACTCATATGGTCAAATATTCTCGCCTTCTCAGGTAAAAAAGCTGACTATAAATACGCTCTCTCTTCTGTCCAATTTTAAACTTAGATAATTTAATAATTCTTAAAATGATGTTTCTCTCTTTAAATAAAGGGCTATTTAACCACATAAACTGGTTGTGTAAACCATCACACTAGAGACACTTGATACCCTCGAAACACGGGAACAACTAGTGATTTTGGTCTTGTTCAGTGCAACACATTAGGCACAAAACCGGCCTGCAGTCCACACAGTCCCACTGCTGCCTCCTTCCTGCCTTCCTTCCTTCCTGCCTTCCTTCCTTCCTTCCTTCCGGGGGCTCCGCACGCGGCAGCGCCGTCCCCCAGCACTGCCAGCTCACGCAGCCAACGGCACGGCCCGAGGGACACCCACGGCTAGGGCACAGAGGCACACCTAGAAAGGAATAAAACCTAGGACACAGAACACTCCAACTGTAACTACAGGTACCAAAGGAGACAAAAGCAGCAGGTTCAGGCGCTGAGATGCACCACCTGGAAGAGTCATGGAATAAAGCCTTTGGAAGTAACCGAAAATAAGGGTTCCCAGCCCCCAGGAAGAAAGCTTTCCTTGGGCCACTCCTCCACCCTTCTCTCAGCCACGCTGCACAGATTTTCTTTGGGTAGAAAACCAAAATCTCACAGCCTGTCCCCAGGGCACCCGAGGGCTACAGACTGCTGGGTGGGAAGCTCTGTCTGCACAGGACAAGGGATGCATCACCACTGCTCATACCAATCTGGACACAACAAAATAAACTGGAGCGATCAGCAGGCCAGTCCTGGGCCAAGTCAAAGGAACCCAGACCCATGTGGGGAGGGCTTGTGCTTTGGGGATTCCAGGCTGGTTTTGTGCCTAACTGCCCTGCACAGACAAGCTCAGGCAACGCTCGCTTCACTAAGACCGGGCGTCCGTTTTGGATTTCACTATTGTGATGACACTGGTGGTAGCCACCTTGCCAGGGACGAGGGGCCCCATACCGGAGGCGAGAGGCCCCCGTGCAGGGGTCACGGGGCTCCGGGCCACGGTTCTGGCGAAGTTCTGCAGGGCCTCATATTTGGAGCGGAGAGCATCAAGTTCCATTTTCATGCTGGCGTTCTCTGAGGCCAGCTTCTCCACTTCTTGCTGCAGCTCTGCCTTCTGCTTCTCCAGTTCCTCCTTCTGGGTGACGCGCTTCACTCTGCAGCTGGCCGCGTAGCCACGGTTCTTGAGCGTGCGCCGCCGCTGCTTCAGCTGGATGATCTCCTCCTTGGACAGGCCCCGCAGGTGCTGGTTCAGCTCGCGCACAGACATGGTCACCAGCTCCTCGTCTGTCAGGCTGGTCCCATTCTCGCCTGGCTCCCTCTTCACCTGGGGGAGAGGCAGCACACACCTGTGAAGCCTGAGGTGATGCCCACGCCCATCCCACGCCCATCCCGCGCCCCGTTCCTCCCCCGCCACGTTACCTTCAAGGCCTTGTTTCCTTTGTTGGGGGTCGTCATAACACGACAGCCTTGGCAGCTGGGTTCTGCAAGGGAAGGAAGGTCAAATTAGCACCTGGGACACTGCAGAGCTCACGGCATTCCTCTGGCAGGGTCCAGCAGCAACGCCCCGAGGTGCTCCACATCCTGGACTCTGCCATGGGGTGCTCCACATCCTGGACCCTGCCATGGGGTGCTCCACATCCCAGCCCCTGCCATGGGGTGCTCCACATCCTGGACCCTGCCATGGGGTGCTCCACATCCTGGACTCTGCCACGGGGTGCTGCACATCCCAGCCCCTGCCCCCAGGTGCTCCACATCCCAGCCCCTGCCATGGGGTGCTCCACATCCTGGACCCTGCCATGGGGTGCTCCACATCCCGGCTCTGCCATGGGGGGCTCCACATCCTGGACCCTGCCCCGAGGTGCTCCACATCCTGGACTCTGCCACGGGGTGCTGCACATCCCGGCCCTGCCATGGGGTGCTCCACATCCCGGCCCCTGCCATGGAACACAATCAGCAAGCAGCCAGCTGGGCTGGACTCACAATAAGCAGAGTGTCCCTAAGCAGAACCTGCTGCCCTTACACACCTCTGCTGCCACGGAGACTCTGTGGCAATGCTGCTTTTGTTTATGGTGGGGGAAATTAAAGAACTAGGAGGAGTCAGAAGACTTGGAAGCCACATTTTTAAAAATAGCCTTGCAAGCAGCAGGCAGGGTCCAGAGCATGGCTGCTCCAGGCCAGTCATGCTGACTCAGCAGGCTGGCACTCTGCACCACTCGCTCCCAGCCTCGTCCTTGTCACTGCCAAGCAGGGCAGCTCACCTCACACGCCCTTCCAACAGGTGCCCAAGCACAGCCCAGGAGCTCCCCACTCCTACCAGACTCCAGATGCTGCCAAGGATGGCTCAATAAGACATAATCCTGAGCAAGGGTACACTGGAATTCCATCACAAATTTGGGCTGATGCCTCAGCAGCCTTCACCTCTCCCAGTCATACAAAAGTGACCCCAGTTGTAGGTCTTTTCTGTGAGAAGGCACCTGTCCATCCCTGGCATGCCAGAGCCCAGAAACACCTTCTTCCTCCTTATCTTAAGAGCCAAGGTGTGCTCACAAGAAAACAAAGATTTAAGGTGCTGAAAACCAGAGCAGAGCAGACTCCTTCCCTGCCATGGAAAACAAGACTTCAGAACTGGTAAGAGCAATTCCCAGGCCTGCTTTACAGAGACTTACTCCCAGGCTCCTGCTTCCTTCCCCACGTACCTCCTCCCCTCAGGGTTTTCAGATTGCTACTACGCTGCCCAAGGAATTGATGCACACAGATACTGCCTGACAGACACGGCTGTGCCTCAAACAGCCCACACTACACCCACACAGCCCTGGCCAGCATTCCTGCGCAGCCTCCAGGTGCCTCTGCCCCTTTCATCTTGCAGGTGTTAAACAACAATTTGGTCTGCCCCTGCCTTGCTCCCAGCAGGACTCATGTCCAGTTACAGACCAGAACCAAATGCACACATCAGCAAATAGGGCTTAGTGCTCTTTCAGCAGCTGTGGCACAGGCTCCCTCCAGTGCATCTATGACCTACGGGAGGTGAACAGGACCAGCAGTCCCCAGAACACCAGCAGAGATATTCCTGAAGCCTGCAGCCTGTCAGAAGCCAGGCTATTTATACATACCTAGAGGACAATGCTCCTTCCAACAAGATGTCTGCTGCCCCAGCCACACCGGCACAGCCACGGTCATCTGCTGCCCAAGGAAGGCAGCTGCAGGGAGGCAGGACAGGCAGCATGCAAGCAACTGCTGCACAAAATCAATTCTCCCCTCCTTCCCAGACTGCTGCTTATTCCTTCTGTTCCTACCTGGTAAACAATATGTCTGCTGGGAAAAGGGGAGAGGAAAGGGAATAGCTGGAGAGACCAATGTGCCTGCCCCTGCAGCCTTTCTGTGCCCCATCCTCCTGCAAGTGGAAGGAGTCAAGGGCAGGTATGGGCAGTGGGACACAGGAATTTGCCTGCCCTGCAGCACTAAAGAATTTACAGCTACCTGTAAACACAGGCTGCCTTCATTACAGCAGACCCAAACTGAAACAAACGGGAACACGCATGCTGCAGCAGGCAGGGCACTGGGAAGATGCTCCTCAGCAGGCCGGGGAACTGCTGGCAGAGCTGCTCATTCCTGCCTCTGCGCACTCTAACACAACACCTCCCAGGCAGGAGCCTCTCTCAACAGCCATCAGAGCTGCCACAGGAGTGGCCCCAAAAACCTGGTGATCCCACCTCTCCAAGGAGCAGCAGCCAGTAGAACGGAAAGAACAACCCAAAGAGTTTCCTGGGTGCCGTTTTAACCGGGCTGTTTGGCAGCTCACAAACAGGACACCCAGAGAATGGGTTACATAGCAGAGACCAAACTTTGCCTTACTCTCCAGACTGCTGATGGATCAGCTTTTGATAGCTTCCTGAAGAAAGATCACACTGAAAAGTGCCAAACGCTGTGGCTGCAATGAAGAAACTGCAGCCTCGACACATTTCCCCAGAGCTCAAAAGGCCTGAACTCAGCACAAGCAGAGCCAATTCTCCCCTCAGCTCAGCGGCAGCACACGGGAGCTGACAGCAGCACGCATGATCCAGCACGGGCCCTTCTCCAGCTGCTGGTGCAGAACCCTGCCCCGAGCCCGTGTAAACACGGTGATGTCCCTACTGCAGCGGGCAGAGCAGGGCTGTGCTGCCCAGGGCTCCGGCAGGCACAGGAGCGTGGTTGGTCTGTCAGCAGTGACGGGGCACACGGCACAGAAACACTCTCTCCCAGCGCGGATTTCATACTCTGTTTATTTGCTTGCCGGCAAATTGCCTCACACAGTCTCATCCAATGACTCCCCAAATTACCTGTGTAGCCAAAGACAGTGCCTGCTGCGTTCCCCACCCTGGGCCCCGCTGGCGATGTCATCCGACCCTGAGCACTTCACAGCAATTTTTTCCTCGAGGAATCTGCCCAGCCAGCTGGTCCTAGCTCTGCTCACACTGCTAAAGCAACGGGCCAGCTCCGAGACTCCCTCCCCCGACCACAGAGCTCACACAGGCCGGACAGCCGGAGCCGTGCCCGGCACAGACGGACGCGGCCCCTCGGCGCGGGTCGGACGCCGCAGTGCCGGGGGAGCCCGCTCCGCCCGGGGACCCGCAGCGCCCAGCACCGGGCAGCCCCCGCGGAGCGGCACCTCCGCCCGCACGGCAGCGGCCACCGGGCAGCCCGAGGGCACGGCACCGACCGCGGGCAGCGGGGCCGTGCCTGCCTCTGCTCTGGGCACCGGGCGAGCGCCCCGATGGCCCCTCAGCCTGCCGGCCCTCCCGTCCTCGGGAGAAGAATGACAGACCGCGGCGGGGGCCGCCCGGAGGAACGGGGACCAGGAGGCCCCGCCGGGGCCGGGTCGCGGCCGTACCGGCGGAGCCGGAGCGCCCCGAGGTGCGGCGGGGCTGAGCGGGGCAGGCTCGGCCCGAGGGCAGCCGGGCTGCAACACGATCGGGGCGCTGGGCAGCCGCGGAGGGAGGGGAGGAGGGAGGGGAGGAGGGAGGGGCCGGGTGCCCGCGCTGCCCGGGGTGGAGCCGGGAGCGGCGGGCGGGGCGGGGCAGGCCCCGGGCCCCGCGCACCTGTTGCTCGCCCGCCGACCGGGGCCGGGCGGGGCGGGCCGGGGCGGGGCGGGGGCCGGGCGGGCGCGACCCCAACGCCCCGCCGTGAGTCAGCGATGGCGGGCCCGTCGGGCACTCGCCGACCGCGCGGCGGCCCCGGCCACCATCCCGGGGCCCGCCGTGCCCGCCCCGCCCCGGCCCGCCCCCGGGGACCGGCCCGCCCCGCCCCGGCCGGTGCCACGGCCGCGCCCGCGCTCGCTGCCGGTGGCGCTCACCTCCTGCCGGGGCCGCCGGGCCGGGCCGGGCCGGGCGGGGCGGGGAGGCCGCGCTGGGAGGGACCGGGACTCACGAGCCGCCGCCGCCGCCGCCGCCGCTCACGGAGTCGTCACGTGATATTTGGGTCACGTGGCTCCATTCATGAAGCGCCCGGCGCAACCGCCCCGGGCCTTAAGGGGGCCGCGCTCCGCTCCGGGGCACCGGGGAGCGCCCGGCTCGGCTCGGCCCGGCTCGGCTCGGCCCGGCCCGGCCCGGCCCCCGGCGAGCGCTGCCGCTCCACCGAAGGACGGGGTCGGCCTCGTCTCTGGCAGCAGCCCGGTGTCCCCGGTGCACACCGCGCGTTTCAGAGCGCGCAGTCCCTCAGGCCGGGGCCGCTCCTCTGCCCCGGACCGCCGCTCTCTGCTCCGCGCACAGGGGATGTGAGCGCCAGCCCTCCGGGGCTGTGGCAGCCCCTGATGGGCTGGGTTCCATCTGCTGCGGTTACAGCTACGGGTCTATAACCATCTAGGAAGTTCATCTGTAACTCTGTCTCTCTGGGAGGACCCAGGGGCATCCCCAACATCTCCCTGCAGAGGGGTTCAAGCTCAGGCATCCATTCATTCCGCATCCCACTTTTCAGCCAAGTGGGAACTCTTTCCACAACACTCCCTTGCATTTTGCATCACCCTCTGCTACAGCTGCTGCAAGCCATAAGCCTGCTACAGGGGACACCAGCATGCTGACTGAGCGTTTTCCCATGGACAAAACAGAAATAACACAGAGAACACTAACAGTTGTGGCTTAGGAATGGCATTCCCTGTATTAGCGTTCCCACTGAAATACTCAAAACCACATGCTGCTCACTCACTGCCCTCTTGTCCCTGTCCCTCTGTGGTGGGCTGGAGAGGAGAACTGGAGGCATAAAATGTAGAGAACATGGTTTGCTACAAGAACATTTTACTGTAAGCAGTAATGAGATAAGAAAACAAATAATAACAGTGACAATATTAAGAAGAGTGTAGAAGAGAGGTGAAGGATTCCCACGATTGCTCACCACATGTAACATGATGCTGCTCCCACTGCTCACCTGATGCACCCAGGCACAGGGACCCCTTCTCGCCACCCCTCTTCAGCCCCTCTCCCCTGCTGCAAACCCTCCCCTCCCCTTTGCCCACGTGTACAGAATAACCAGGGTCCTGGCCATGCCATTCCTGGCTAATGCAAAGATTAACCCAGTCCTGGCTGCAGCCAGGACACTGACATTCAGCACTGCCAGAATGTCAGTGTCTGGTCAGTTCTTCTTGCTCTTGCTGGTGAACAGACTGACTTTGCTAGCAGATGCCACAGACAGAGAAGGAGAGTCCAGCTTCACCTTGTCCAGCAATGTTTTCTTTATGGCTGCCGGGGAAATCTGCTCTTGGTCTGCCAAATGCTGCAGCTCCCTACAGTGGGGTAGTGGGAGAGGAAGACATAGGAAAAATAACATGGGGAGGGTGGGGGGACAAGTCTTGCAAGCTCTTTAGCTCCTAGGTGCCCACCTTGTGCGGATGCAGGAAGCCTCCACAGCGTTGATGAGGAGAGAGCGAAAGCCACCACTCTCCAGGAAGTGCAGGGCGTGGATGGTGGCTCCCCCGGGCGAGCAGACGTTGTCCTTCAGCTGACCCGGATGCTGCTCAGATTCCAACAGCATCTTGGCAGCACCCTGTAGCAAGGAAAACACCTGCCAGAGCCTGGCTGAGGAGGGTAAGCCACCGTCTTACCCTGCTGTTCTCCACCGTCATGCCCTCCTGTTCTCCACCATCATACCCTCCTGTTCTCCACTGCAAGAGCAGCACCAACACTCACAACAGGCACACCTGGGCTCCTGCAGGCCGCCAAAACACTTTTCAGAGCTGATGAGGCCTCAAAGCAGCAGAGTTTCCCAGGGCCCAGCTCCCACCCCACCAGCAGCACCAGCAGATTGCTGCAGACCCTTCCTACAGCCCCTCGCCAGGAACTGTGTGCATTCCAACCAAACACGTTCCTTAAAGCAGATTCTGCCAGAGCACCGCGACCGCCTCAAACTGCGAGGTGCAGATTGCTCTGCAAGGAGCAGCACAGGCTCGATGTGCTGTGCAGCAGGTAACACTGACCAGCAGAGCCTGCGCTCCCAGCCGAACCGCCAGCCTGCGGGGAAGGCCCATCTTCACTCCTCCGTCTGCAAGAGCATCCAGGGCAGTGAATGCCTGAGAACACAGGGAAAGAAGGGCACTGAAAGACTGGTAAGGCTTAGAGAAGAGAGAATCCAGGGCTTCAGGACTGTTCTGTGACTCCTGTCACTCACAGCCTTGACAAAAGCCTCCCCTTTTCCTTCATAGATGCCATGCCAGGCTTCTCTCCCACCATTTCCAGCTCAGGGGTGGGGGGAATGGCAGAAATTCAGCTTCTGATCATGCAAACTACAGGCCCAAGTTTTGCAACATGGACATGCGGGCACTGCACACTGGCTATGGACTTCAGACTCATCTGACTCTTGAAAAATTGTCCTGCTGTCCCAACTGGACACCTGGAATACATGTCCCATTGCAAATATGGGTGATGGGAAAAATAAAAAAGAAAAGACAAGTTGAAGTTGCACAGAGTTTATGGCAGGCAAAGGCAACTGCTCTCCCTAGGATGGCACTAGCTGAGGAAACAGCAGCACATACATACGCAGGGCCACTGCCACTGAGCCCCGTTACAGCATCGATGAGGTCCTCTTCCACCTCGGTGCAGAAGCCCACGCTGGCCATCAGCTGCTCCAAAAGCTTCCCATCTTCCACATCTGCATGAGTGCCAGTGGCATAAACCGTAGCACCTTCCCGGACTATCACAGGGGTGTTGGTCATGCACCTGATCACTTTCGGTGTGGGGCAGAAGGTAGAGAGTTTCTTAGGGCAGAAAATCATTGAAGACAGAAATTAAGAAAAAAAGAAAGAAGGGAGAAAAATGAGCTTTAGTGCATATGTTTCATCAATGGGTTGTTCAGGAAAGGACCCCCTCCAGGGGCAAGAACAATACAAGCAGAAGGAAAAGAGAGACCCCTGTATCTCAAATGTCCTGCTTTGAGCCACAGCAGCCCATCCGTGAATGTGAAGCCTTGCTCAGGACCAGCAAAGCAGGAGCTGGGCAAAACTGAGTTGGAAACAGCATCCCAAAGGCCTCAATGCCACATCAACCCACAGATCTCCAAAACAGCTCCTGCAGACACTCAGCATAAAATCTGCAGAAATTCAGGGGAAATGGGCCACTACTGTTAAAATAAACATGACTGGACAGCACCTCATGTGAGAGAAGAGCTGGATGAAGCCTCTAACAGCATTTGCCGATGAACACAGGCAAATGTGACCAAAACCAAGTTGGCTGCTGCTGTGTGACTTTAGTCCTGAGCAGCACGAGTCCGTGGCAGGGCTCCGCGGGGTGAGAGGAGCGGAGCCAGCTCAGGGCCGTGCCGGGTCCCCGCTCACCTTCTCGATGGAGCTGATGGTGACTCCGGCCGCGCAGGACACCACGATGTGCCGGGGCTCGATGTCGGGGCCCACCTCCTCCAGGATGAATGGGATGATGGGTGGCTTTACGGCCAGGAAGAGGACATCGCTGCTCTTCACCGTGTCCTTGTTGCTCACCGTGAAGTTCACTCCCATTTTCTGCACCGGTTCGGGGAGAAACGGGACCGTTCAGGCCCGGGATGGCCGGGAGGGAAGCGCCGCCACCCGGTGCCCGCTACCCGGCCGCACTCACCCGTAGCCCGCTCACGGTGGGCAGGTCAGTGTCCGGGGAGCTCGCCGTGATCTTGTGCGCAGCCAGGACCCCTGCGAACGACCCCGCGCGTCAGCCCGAGGGACCGGCACCCCCGGCAGCACCCGCCCCGCGCCCGCCCGCCCGCCCCCCGGAGCCAGGCCGAGCCGCCCCGCGCGCACCTGCCGCGGTGAAGCCGCGGGCCAGGGCGAAGGCGAGCTGCCCCGCGCCGATGAACCCCACGCTCATCGCGGCGCCCCGGCCCGGCCCGGCCCCGCCGCCGCCGTACACGTGGCCGCGCGCGCACGGAAGCGAGGCCGCGCGGCGGGACGGGGGCGCGCAGCCAATCGGCGGGCAGGGGGGCGGGGCAGCGCCAGCGTTCCGCCACTCAGCGAGCGGGGGCGGAGCCAGCGGCGTGGCGCTCGCCAGCGATTGGGGCAACCGGCGCCCGGTGTTGCATCATTCACCGCCCGCGGCGCCGCCCCGCGCCGGCCCCGCCGCCAGGCGGCGCCCTGCTCCCGCCAGAGCCCCGCAGACCGTGCCGTGCCGTGCCGTGCCGTGCCGTGCCGTGCCGGGCCGTGCCGTGCCGTGCCGTGCCGGGCCGTGCCGGGCCGTGCCGGGCGTGCTGTGCTGACCCGAGCCCCGCGGGCCGTGCCGTGCCGTGCCGTGCGGTGCTGTGCTGTGCTGTGCTGTGCTGTGTGTGCTGCCCCCGAGCACCGGGGTGGCCCCGTCGGAGCCTGGCGGCCCCGGGCTGTGCAGAGCCCGGACAGGAGCGTTCCTGTAAAACCCATAGCCGACAATGATTTTTTTCCTAAGTATCGTCTTACCTCGCTAGTTTTTGGGGTTTTTTTAACTTCTTCATTGACAGAAATAAAGCTCAGTGTTTTTTCTGCTGATAAGTGTTCCTAAACGCTGATCTTTCATGAGTACTGAACCCCGGGCTTCCTAAAAAGAAGGGAAAACCCCAATCCAAACCCATTAACAATTCTGACTTTAACCCACCCGTGCTGGAATCCTCTGGGTGCTGACTGGATTGGCTGCAGCCACAAGTACATAATTAACGAACACTCATAAATGCTAACATTAGTTTACCAAAAGAGGTTGGGAATGGTTGGTGACTGGGGCAACCAGGTTCATGGGGAGCTACTTGATCATCATCTGTTAATTAAGGGGGGGAGATGCTCTCTGGAAATGAAGGAGGTCTGGAGAACTGAATCATGGCAGAGCTGGTTGGTAAATCCTGATGACTAGATATCAGATGTTCTCTGTTCTGGATTGGGCAATCTCATAGTTTCCAATGGTTGGGGAATGTTTTAACCACTGAAGCATGAGGTTTTGATTTTTTTTTTATTATTTTTTTTCTCCTAAAAGAGAGGATTGTTGTCCACACAATCTTTTTTTGCCATTTGACCATGTTCACATTTTTTGCTCAGTCTTTGGCTGGCAGATGAGAAAGCTAAATCTGAACACACTGTTCTTGGCAATGACTTGTGTTTCCACTCCTCCAGTCAGTGGGATCATGGTTTCCATGTTAAATCCTCTTTCTCCTTATTTGAAGACACTCCATTTTGCCCTCATTGTTTCCCAAGCACCAGTTCCTCTCCGGCCCTTGGACCCAGGCTGGGTGTAAGTCGCACCAACCCTTGGCATTGTCAGTTTTACCATGTTTCCGCTCTTGCTCCTACTTGGTGCGAAATCTGCCTGGCAGGAGCCCGGGAGTGCCTGGGGAGCCAAGGAGCTGCTGCTGGTGCTGCTGCTGCCGCCACGGCCCTGGCAGTGCCATCCCTGGGCACGGGCACCCCTGCCTGGAGCCCCCAGAGCCACCCCAGCACGGGGCGAGCAACGCTCCTGGGCCCTCTGCGTTGGGTTTTACAACAAAAGCCATGGTCCTTCACAGGCACTGTTTGGTTTTTAGTAATCTGAAATACCAACAACCAAAAAAAAAGAGAGTAATTTTCAAGTATTACATGGCTTAATTTGTCCATATTGATGGGTTTAACAGGAATATATCATAATTGCTCAAGGTCCCTTTGTATGCAGTGGCTCCTGTAAATTGACTCCTCCAACACAAATGGATTTCCTTTCCCAAGTCAGCATTTTGTTCTTGTACAACCCATAATTTGTTTGGGTGGCAAGAAATAAAGCTCCTGGTTTATATCTATAGCAGATAGCTGTGGGTCTTGCCCTGACAGCCTCCTCTTGGATCACATCTTCCAGATTTCCTGCCCTTCCCTGGGACTCACAGAAGAGAAAACCCCCTTGGCAGGCTGTTCCTCTGTGCTGGATCCCAATTCTTGCCCCATGTCCTGGCTGATGCTCCCCACTGCTAAGGGCTGGTCCTTGCTCAGAATTATTCAACATCGTCTGTCCCAACAAGTTTTCCCTTTGCTTTTCAAACCCCACACAAAGCACTGATGAAAAGTAAGTTTGCTTCCTTATTCCTAAGTCATTCTGCTGCAGAGAACCCCCTCAGAGGTCTTGCTGTGTTGTGTCTGTTGTTTTTTGGTTCTGTGTTCAGGCTTTGTACACCAGAATAAAGTGAGCCCTGCCTTCATGCAGAAAGTGTCTGCTGCAATGAGTGTGGAGAGCAGGATGACAGCACACAGATCTCAGGAGATGTAAGCATACATCTACCATTCAGCTTTATTTTGTTTTGGTTAAAAAATAAATCTTGCTTCTGACAGGCAGCTACTGGAGATTTTAATCAAAGCACTCAAGTCTGCACGTGCTACACAAGCACTTGGACACGCTGGCTTCTCCCTGCGACAAATGAGGATTCCTGTGGGGCCTGGAATCTGAGCTGAGACGTGTGGGGCTTTAAAGAGGGTGTTTCCAGGGGTGGGTCTGGGAAATCAGGCTCCCCAGTGATGCAGGGTGCTCAGGAATCCCGAGCTGCACCGGGCACAAGTTCTGCCCTGTCCCGTCCTGCCCGTGCCCCCTCCCCGCCCGCTGGGTCCCTTGTGCAGCACTGTGAGATCAATCACTCTCTGCCTCCCCTTTGCCATGCCCCAGAAAAACCCCTTGACCCCAGTGTAAAGAAATGGTGCCCCATGGATCAAGACAAGAGCACGTGCCAAGGTATTTTTTGCGCTGCTCAAGCGAGGATGAGGATGGCAGGTCACACTCGGTCACTCTGCAGGATGGCTCTGCTCTGCACCCTGATCCTCAGAGTACAGCCCCAGCTTTCCAAATTTTCATTTCTGTAGTGACTCAGTGATTGCTAAATAGGAGTATTACATTAAATAGGCCTCCTCCAAGGTGTGCACTTGACGATATTCCTTTTCTGTGCTAGACAGCAAAGGAGAGGAAAGGAAATGACTGGCAGCCTTCAAAATACTGTTACGGCTATGATGCTCTTCTCAGAAACACCCAGACTGGAACTGCCCACACTTGCAGGCATTCCACATCTCCCAACACAGTCCAAACTAACCCAAACTCTGAGGGATTGATTTTCATCTACTGAACTGGTGCTCCTTCATGCAGCTTTCAACTTTTCCACTTCCCAAGCAGTCACTTGGTTACTGCTAGGCGCTGGTTAACAGTTTCAAAATCCTGGATGTGTTTCCTAATGTTTGGCTCAGTAACCTGATAGCCTCCAGCCCCACTGCTGTGGCCACAAGCACTCCTGCTGTCTGCAGATGCCCGTGGAGCTGTGCCATTCCTCCGTGCTGGCCTGGGCAGGTGAGGCAGAACCACGGGGAGTTGGGCTGTGTGGTGCCCGCTGCAGCCCACCTGCTCCAGGCCATTAATTCCTTAGCGTAGTCGGTCCTCACAGATGTTTGGCTGATGGTGGTGTGTGCCTGCTTGCCAGCCCCGCTCTGCCCCGTCCCTCTGCACCTGCAGGGCTTGGCGCTCTGAGATGCCTCCACGGAGGCCGAGCCACGGCTCAGATGTGTGAGACGAAGCGGATGCGCTGGGAGTAGGCCAGGTCCAGCACATAGAGCAGCAGGTTGACATAGGTGAAGATGGCAATCACCAGCTGGCTGTCCCAGGGGCACTTGCCCTTGGCACAGAGGCCGGGCCGTCGTGGGGAGCCGTACTTGCTGTCAAAGCAGAACACTGGCCAGATGACCGCAGCACTCGCGTAGAGCAGCACCGCCCCAAAGGTGTAGATGACCACAGAACGCTCAAAGGGGAACCACAGCAAGGCAGTCTTACCTGTGACACTGAAGGCCACCACCACCACCGTCACCACAAAGCAAAAGCTGTAGACAGCCACACACCACTGCGTCGCCACGTATTTACCGTACTGGCTGTCGTTCACCAGCGCCCCAAAGATGATGCAGGCCACGAAGGCCTGGACGATTTTCAGGAGGCCAGAGACGGTGGCCATGTAGCTGGTGACCTGTCCCGGCTTGGCCCTGGTCAGGAACACCTCGGCGGCGTAGGCGAGGAACAGCAGGCCCGCGAAGACGCTGGCGGCGATGCGGAAATCCCTGACCTGGCAGCCGATGGGGTAGCAGCCCGCCTGCACGAAGTAGAGCGGGTAGATCACCGCCGCCGTGACCGACATGAGCGTGGCCAGCATGGCAAAAGCCGCCGTGAAGTTCCCCCAGGAGAGGCTCAGGCAGCCGTGCAGGCGCGTGAACTCGCAGGCGATGATGAACACGGTGACGGCGAAGCAGAAGGTCCAGACGAACATGCAGAAGGTGCCGTAGGCGGCACTGAACCCCCCTTGGTGGGCGACCAGGCTGAAGGTGGCGCAGCCGAAGGTCATCTGCAGCAGCCGGGCTATTCCCACCGGGGAGGTCACGGCGGCCGTGTTGAGGTACGGCCCTCCCGTGCTCTCCATCATGCGCGGTGCAGCGCGGGGCGCTCCGAGCCGCCCCGGGTCCGTTCCGCCGCCGTGCCGCAGTCACACCTGGTCCCGGCTCGGCCCGGGCCCCGTCGGCGCCTCCGGCCGCAGCGGGAGCCGCCCGTGACGCGGCATCGCCGGCAGCTCCGCACCGACCCGCGGCTGCCGCCGGGCTCTGCCCACCCCCGGCGCGCTCCGGGCGCCGCCGCTCGCCCTCCGCTCCCTCAGGGCCGGGACCGGCCCCAGGGCTGCGCTCCGGCCGCCGCCTTCCCCTCGGGATGCGGCTTTCCCCCGCGGGCTGACATCTACTCCATTTCAGCTCCGCAGCTGTAGCTTTCTGCTGCACCGTTCACAGGAACCTGGAGTATAAATAGGGGCTTTATTAATAGTTCTGGAACGAGTCCTGCCCCCACTCAGCTGTTGGGAGCGGGTGTTATTTAACACTGGGGCTGCGAGCTCCATCAAAGGCTCCTGATTATCCTTGTGCTGCTCTTGCAGGAGCTCCGGGTTCGCTGGAATGCTGCTGCTCGCTGAGGGGAGCTCTGCCTGCGATCCACGAGAGCTCAGTCCTGCAGACCCCAGAGCCCCTGAGCGGGGGCACAAGCCCAAAGGCAGCACAAGCCCTATAAAAGAAGGGATTTAGGCCAGAGACTGAATAAAAGCTGACTCACGTTGCTGCAGTTGATCTGGAGCACCGATACATTTACCTGCTGCGCTTTGTGCGACAGCTTGTGGCTGTGAAGGTTGACAAGCGCCCGTCCTCAACATTTCCTTAAACCCTTCCCTGTCTCTCTTTTACTTATGTGGGAATCAGTTTTTCTTGTATCTCTGAATGCAGTAACTGAATACAACTGTTAAAAAAAAATATTGCTTTGATATTCTTAGCACTGTTTTGGAACACAGATTTTAATAAATAGTGTAAAACTCTCCCTCCTGTGAGATCAAAGCTTTCACAGTGAGCCATTCCTGGTATACAGTGCCTCCCAGACTTCATCTCTGCCCAGAAGTCTCTTAATTATATCTCTAAAAGCCTCAAACAAAATTTCTGATGTAATTTCAGAATGGGAATGCGTGAATGTTTTCACCACAACATAGCAGAGAAATTCCTCCCTTACCCCAGAGCAGCATTGCTGACTCCTCACCTGCAGTACCCATCCCAGTATGGAAGCAGCAAAACTTCCCGGCTGGAATGGCTCACATGAGAACAGTACTTTTTTTGGCTGTAATGGTAAAATGTGCCTACCTTCAGCTTTGTCACCATCTTGTAACCTCAGTATCTCTTTCATTCATCTCAAGTCCCTTCCATTTTCCTTTGAGAGGCCTCTGGTGCTAAAAGTACAAAAGCCTGCATTCATTTGGGGTGGAAGCTGCACGATTAACATCACAATAACCAGGAAATGCAGCAGGAGGGCTGAGGCACTTCAGGTGAAGAGGTTCTCATACCGAAATCTTGCCCTACCTGACTGTCTATTAATGCTTCGCCTCTAGCAGTTTTCAGGGTCTCTTTGGCAGGGGTCACTTTCTGCGCTGTGGCCCCGTGAAGTGCAGCCCCTCGCTCTGCCCGGGGACACTCAGGGACACCGGGGCTCAAGGCAGAGCTGCTCCTGCTGCTCAGCTTCTGCTTCCCACGGCAAGTGGAGCCCCTCCGGAGAGCCCTCAGCACCAGCTGGTGCTGGCAGAGGGCAAAGGTGCCCGAAATCAGGGCTCACACTGCGGGCAGCACACCTCACAGAGCACAGCCACTGTCCCCTCAGAAATAAAGAACCGATCCAGTCAAAAGATCACAGAGTACAAACACATGGCACTGAGACTTCCAGTCTTGCCCTTTTGTCACTGGCTTCTGCACAGCACAAAACAGATGAAAAGCGTAATCAGGACAATTCTACTTTTATACCCAAGTCATTAAAACATAAAGGATATCAGTAATCTCCAAACTGATCACAGGCAAACTCCACTGATGTTTTCCTGCTTTTCAGTTTCACTGGGAGCACCAACCATTTTCCCTTTAGTTTTTCTTTATCTTCAGTCTGTGTTAATCCCATCATGCACAGCAGGACAGCCGATTGTGGTGATCTGCGTGTGGTCCTGCCAGACTTTTCCTGAGGTCCAAGAAGAGCAACCAAAGGGCAACAGTTTGGTTCATTTTTTGGGTTTACTTACCCAAAACAAGAGATCACACACAGGTGAGGCAGGAGCCGTGCACAGCAGTGCAGGCACACACAGGTGGAGCTGTGCAGCAGTGCAGGCGCACACAGGTGAGGCAGGAGCCGTGCACAGCAGTGCAGCAGCCGTGCAGCTGCTGCTGGGACAGGGCTCCCTCGCCCTGCCCTGCAGGCTGAGGCTCTGCTCTCTGTTCCAGCCCCCGCTCCTCTCCAGCCTCAGCCCTGCATTCTGCATCCCTCCCTTGTTCTCCTCCCACTGCCATCAAAGGGGATTCTCCCTGCTGTGGTGGGTGTGTTCCCAAATTATTACAAGAGAAATATGTTGGTGCTTGTCTTGTGTTCTCTGCCCTTTCTGCTCCAAATGCTTCTGATGCTCGGATCAAACATTTCCCTCACTGGGAGAGAGGCCTTTGCAGCAAAGCCAGATCTCCCTCTACCTTACAGTGCAATGCCCTGGACTACCTGGGGAATCATAGTGAAAGTCTGCAAACATCAGGTGCTGGGTGAAAGTCTCTGTTCTTAAACCTTACATTACAACCTCTTCATCAGAGAAACAATGACAAGGCACACTGCAAGGGGAACACAGAAATCTAATTAATACAAAACATCACCACCACCCTTAGCCCTCTCCCAGGCACAAGTGACCATCAGGATAACCCATCCAAATGAGCAGCATATACAACTTTACAAAGACATACGTATGGTTCTCTGGTCAGCCCTTATAAATAGCGTTTTACATATTAAAATAAATATGTCCACGTTGCCAAAGTAGCAAGAGGTTTCTTCGTTATTTAAAAAAAAAATATGTTACAATATCCTTTATATTTCTTGCTTAGTTTAAAAAAGTAATTAAAAAGTCATTTTATAAAATAATATGAATAAATTGAGTACAAGAGTGTCCATCCCTAGCACGTGTCCTGGGTCTGTATACTGTGATTCAGCATGAGATGCTAACCTCCAGGAAGTAATGTAGCCATTCCTTCGCTCCTAGTTGGACAGAAGAAATCCAGTGCTTGCTTTTTTCACCACTTGTAACAAGTCTACGATGTAAAACTGATGGCAAGGGAAGATGTCCCAGATCTGGGGAAGGTTCTCATCGCTGCTATTTATGGCTTTGCTACTCCCTGTATCTGACTGCCTTGTGTAGCACAGGAAGAGGATGTGACCAGCTGAAACTCAGCCCTGGAGTTTGGAGGGAGGGAACAAGTTCCAGCCAAACAATGTAAGCAAGAAACTGCTGCTTGCCTTTTTTTTTTCCTTTTTTCTTTTTTTTTCTTGACACACCATAAGCGTGCAAGAGTGTGGGAGCATGTGAGTGCACAGGTGTGAGTGTGCCGTGGGTATGAGCATGCATCTGCCTGCAGGAACATTAGGAAGAAGATTAGAAAGTTTGGGAGAAGGGCTGAGAGTCTCTCTCCTCCTGATCTAATCTCTGCCCCTCAGACCTTTCTAGTTACCACTGCTGAGCATCCCCAGGAGTTTACTCGGCTCCAGGCCCTGCTGCTGTGCCATCTTCTGAACATCAAAACCCATGTGCATGAGGAACTGGATCACATTCATCTCCTGCCCTGTGAACTGGTCCCTGATTGTGGGGCACGAGGGGTTGCAGTGAGGCCACGGACAGCTGTCAATCAGGTGAATTGGGCAGCCTTTCAGAGGAGCCTTCCCATTCTTGTTGCTCTCGTGGAGGCTCCGATCCCAGCAGTGCAGGGCACGGGGCAATGATGTCCCCTTCACCTGGATGTCAGTCCAGTGACTGAAAAGACAAACAGTGCAGATGACATCAGAGGGGGGGTCATCCCCAGCCCTGTTCACCTCTGCAGGACCTGCACAAGCACTTACTTGCGTGTGATGATCTCGTGGGACAAACAGGCAGGAGCAAAGCTCGCACTAAAGGAAAACAGAAACATGGATTATGTCTTGAAGGACAAAGTAGCACCTGCTGAATTGAACCTTCCAGACTAGGGAAAGAGTGGAATTTTACACAAAAGAGAAAAAGGCAAGATTCTTGATGTAGATGAACTAATAGTTACCACATTTACAGCTCTCCTTTTTCAGCAGAGATCTGAGAACACAAGGAACTAGATAAGAACATCCTTTAGAAACAAATACGCCAGGTTTTTCTCAATGAAACACTTACGTCACATCCTTCAAGGTGTTTCTCAGCTCTCTACCTAAATTCTGGATGTAGAGCCACTGTCCTTCCTGAACAGGCTGGCCAGTGAGGTGCACATTGTCTACAGTAAGCTGGGCCTCATCGAACAGCCACTGGACAACAAAGACTGGGCCTGGAAGGACAAAAAGTTTGGAAAAGGGATTGCTCCGAGTTAGTTACAAATACAGAGGGAACCCTAAACCATTTGATCTCTCTCCTTTGCTACTTACATCGAAGAGTGGGGTAAATCTTATATCCAAAAAAGCAATTCCATTCCTCTCCCTCTTTAAACTGCAGCTTACAGCGTTCGGGAACAATGCCATTCCAGTATCTAGAGGAGAAAGCATTAAAAGAATGGGAGGCACAGGGCAATCCTAACAATGCATCCTCTCCAAATCCTAGTTCCTGTTCTGACTAGAATTTCAACTGATAGAACAGCTTTCTTGGCAGCACTGTCCCATCAACACATTTTAGAGCATCTGTAACTGTACACATTCTTTTGAACATTTAGACTTTATTGTCTTTTCCAATAAAATCATTGTAAAAACACTGATGTAGACAATAAGTACTCCTTAAGTATCAAAACGAAGGAACACAGCGAAGGAGAACATCTTTTCCACACTCTAACCACTCAGAGCAGTGCACTTTAGAGCACCTGACTGTACCTTATTCCTCTCCTGATGGCCTCTGTGGGAGCACACGTTATGGTGTCGATGCAGTCGGTCCTGCGGTACTGTTTGTTATCCAGG